GTTGTCGACAGCGAATCTGGACCGGCCCAATGATAAATTAACCATGTTATTTTACATCTCCGGGATCTTAGATCGGTGAAAATTGTGCAGGTAACACATTTACGTGCGAACGCGTGACCGGGGAAGGCCCATTTTGGTTTTAGCACCTCCACTTGTGCGGTTTCAACGCGATAGCTGTAAAATTAAAAAAATTAAAACTCCTATCCTCCTCGAGCCCACCGGCAAACTATAATAATAATATCGTCGTACTCTCTTCATAAATTATAAAGCAGCACCAACGCAGTTCCGGGCAACCAAATATAATAGAAAATGTGGGAAAAAACAACAGCACAAGACGGACGGTGTGAACAAAAATCGATTAAACCCGCATCTGGGTCTTATAATAATAAATTATCAAGTGGGAGCCGTTCAATTTGACATTGAACAAATTTGGCAAAAGGACATGGACCTGCAACTCCGGCTCGAGAGACAAAAATCCGCATTAACGTTCATGTTATGCTCAACTATCAATGGTTTATCTCATTCATAGTTGTGCATCATTCGAGTAAGACTTCATCTAGCCAAAACACATTATTCGAGTAAAAGTTATTAGAATAATTTTCAAAAACGGTTCTTAGTGTCAAAGATAAAAAATATAGTTTTCCAATAGACAATTTGTGATGGTTTACACGAGTATAAGTAGGATAATTAGTGCACTGCTAAATTTGACAAATAAATTGGTGACCTTCGATATGCCAATACAAATTTTACATGAAACTTTTTTCGCTAAATTAATATCACTATTTCACAAGAGAAAAAAAAATGTTGAAAGGCCTAAAAAATTAACAAAGAACGTTTACGGAATGGAGTCAAACATAAACGGTGTACCGCGGTGATTTATTTTTTTCATTTCTTTTGTTTTTATTAATATTTTTTTTTTGTGATTTTAATCCGGCTAAGAGATTTCGGTCGTCCTCTCTGCCGGCCTTTGTGCGACCTTTTCCGGAAATAGAGACCGTATTATTTATTATGTACATATTTTGTTTGTAATTAATATATTTTTTTTCACAGTTTAAACGGCTAGCTTGACGGTAAATTTTTTCCCCTCTGAGTAATCGACACCCCGACTGGCTTTTGTACAGTCACTACCGGACATTTGTAATGCGCTCGGGTGGATTTATCCGATGAAAAGGCAAAAAGAAAAGAAAAAAGAAAAAAAAAGGTCAACCGTTCGGCCGGCAATTAATAATGGTGGGTCGTTTTAGGTTAGGTCTTGTGTAATTATGTAGTTTGTAACCCGCAAACGACGGGCCGTTCCCCTCGCCAAATTGACTTCATTACTTAACGTTCTGCCTATATCTTACTTCATTGTTTGAGACCGTGTCTGGGATTAAATGTTGCCATGAGAAAATCTCACGGATCCTCTGGTAACCGTCAGCAGAAGACGGCGCGCATAACATTAACAGCTATAACTCAAGGCAGAATCCAACCTATACAACACCTCATGTAATACCCGTTATACTTAAGCACACCGGGGACACCCCGAACAACCGCAGAGTCGTTTGCGGTTTGCTGAGACGGCATTCGAAAGCCCGAGGGGACCGAATTCGCACTGGGAATCGTTAACGTGGTTTGTGTTCACAAATAATGGCCGTTACCCAGGAAAAACCCGGTAGAGTCTCGTCCCTGACCTAAAGCTCGGCCTTTTCGCCGATTGTGTTCACTCTGTTTTGATAAAATATAAAAATTGTTTGGATATTCTCTCGAACAAGCACTATACCTCGTCGTTGATGTGAAACCGAGATTTGGAGATTTGTTTGTTTGTCTTGCGGTCACTATAGTGGTTAAACTTATCCTAGACTGCGCGCTTAACTCGGAGTACTCTCGCTTTATCCGGGTTAAGTGTGTTTTATCGTCCCACAAACTACTGTCCCCACTCTTAGTATGACGCTCGAGCCCGGCAAATACTTTTCTATCGACGACCCTCGATCAGGTAACCCATTTGAAGATTATCAGCTTTAAAATATGTCCATCCGTGACATTAGCTTTCACATCGTAAAGTTAGAGTTCAAAGGAAAACGTTCGGAAAACAAATATTTGGTCCAAAATTCAAGATGGCCGACTTGTGGTCAAAAACATGTTGTTTTTTTTTTTAAATGCAAACCATGTATTTTTTGCTTACCAAATAAATGTTCTTATCAAAACTAACAACTTTTGTAGGAAAATTTGTTCGATAAAATCCATAATTTGTGAGTTAAGTCTCTTAAGCTATATTTAGTTTTATTTTAATGCCTATGGTAACCGTGGTATGTGTAGTAACCTTGGTATGTGTGGTAACCGTGGTATGTAAGGCACATAGGGAAAGCTTGACGTAATGTGTGGTACAATGAAATGTATGGTAACCATAGTATGTGTGGTAACCGTGGAAATTATTGTAACCGTAGTATGAGTTCTATCCGTGGTGTGGTAACCATGCTAAGTGTAGTATTTTTCACACACACTAAGGTAAAGTTAACGATAAAGAGGTAAAGTCCACATATTCTACATACCGTGGTTACCACACCATAGACAGAATTTATACCACGATAAGAACAGTTCCCATTTTTAAAAAAAAACATGTTTTTGACCACAAGTTAGCCATCTTGAATTTTGGAACAATTTCTATTTTCGAACGTCCCCCTTTGAAATTTAAAAGTCTGATAAATGACTTTCTGATTGAATTGGCATTTTTCGAGACAATTCGATTAGTATATTAAAATAAGACACCCGGTATACACACAAGTGTATTTTTTTGTTGAAAACGTAAAACTCGTGTCTGGAAATATTTGAGTTGGAAAAACAAGTCCAAAAGTTTACCCGAAGGTAGAAAAAATAATAATTGAAGTTTTCACGAGGGCCCGGGAATTAGGTTAGTTAAGAAAAGATGTTGGGATTTTTTAACTTGTCGAGTCGTCGCTTGTACACAATTATGAGCAGCATTCAAAATCCAATTTCGTTTAGTGACGGCTGAATGTACTTAATCCGGCGGGCGAATTAAATAACAAGTACTGATTTTCCAAGTTTTGAAGTAACACGCCGTTGAAGTTTCTTTTCAAACCCCATCGGTCGGTCGTCGGTTCGTGGGATACACGCAGACTTTTGGACGGTCTTACATAGAATTTGGGCCCCCGTAAATCTACTTGGAATTATAGCACTTGTTGTAAAGGACAGATATAACTTAAACGATTTCAGACAACGTTCATTGTTTCGCGGAAGGTCAGATCAGATCTATTCGGAGATTCGTAAAAATAAACTTTAGTCAAACTCTGCCGTTTGATGGATAAAATTGACAACACAATGTCTTGGCCCACTCTGGCTTTATACTCGGTTTCGGCGTTTCGGCACGCAGAGATGTTTTAAAAAAATATTTTCATCTTGTTTCAATTTTTTTAATTACATTATTGTTCCAAAACTATTGTGTCATTAATCTCCGTAACGAGATGGTCGAATAGGTGTCTACCGCCAAAGGTGCCAACACTGCTAGGCCGCAGAGCTTGTTAAACCAACGAAATTGGAAGACGATATTAGAAGACCGTCGTATGCATCATAACGTCATTATATCAGATATGTAGAACTTACGTTTATAAATAACCGTCTAGCAGACTGTACTGAGAAATTTTCATTTCAAAGGTTTAGCTGTTTTTCCCAACGGTTTAAAACTATATTGATTTTACATGTTGAAGAAAAAAATATTAATAAAATTTACATTTTATAAGGTCGTCGTTTTGCAACGCGGGAAAAGGCTGAACAGCTGCTTTTGTCATTTTTTTAATAACAAAAAACAATATCTACATTATAAAGATTAAGTAATAATATTATATAGTAGTAGTATTGTTTTAATGGCAATGGAAAAAGAAAACGGTACAAATTGTTCTTTTAGAATAAACAAAGTATATATTTTAAATATTTGACGTCTGAGAAATATAGTAATCCTTACAAATAAAACAGCCTTTATTGAAACTGAGTATTTCTTTCGTTTTTAAATATGAACTACTAACGCTCTTTGAATCCAATATGGAATAAACAGCCTACAAATGAAACATTGGCGGACTTAGGGGTGAGCATTTGCACAACTAGAGGAAGTGGAGTAGGGCTAAGGAAGTTCAGACCTGAGTTTCAGTGAAAATTGTACACTTTACTTGGCTGGGTCTTTGCCCGATTGGTTGCTGATATTATTTTGGAGCCTGAACTAGTTTAGAATCTTAAGTCCGCCTATGGTATGAAAATACTATGAAAAAGATGTTGGCCACTGAAATAACACATTTTAAAAGTAGACATGACCCCTGCTGCACGGAAGTACATAGGAACATGGATATGTCTTAGTAGACAAGTATAGGACCCTAGTACTTTTCGGTACTTTCTAATCTCTTACCTCACCTCCAGCATCCAGCTGGACCATATCATAACTATAATCTTTTATCTCCAACCTCTCCTCACCTCCAGTACCCAGCTGGGCTATCTCTTAACTATAACCTATTATCTCTATTTTTTATTTCTAATTTCTTTTTTTTTTTATCCATTGTCTCTAATGTTTAATCTCTTATCCATTTTCTTTATTTTTTTTTAATCTCAAATCCATTGTCTCTATTTTTTTTAATCTCTTATCTAGTATCTCTAATATCTAAACTCTTATCTCTAATCTATTATATCTTTTTTTAATCTTTTATCTCTTTTCTCTTATCTATTGCTCTAATGTTTAATCTTTATCCATTTTCTTTATTTTTTTTCTCTCAAATCCATTATCTCTATTTTCTTTTAATCTCTTATCTTATCCTAATATCGAATCTCTTATCTCTAATCCATTATATATCATTTTTTATCTCTAATCCATTATCTCTATTTTTAACTCTAACCTAGTATCTCTACTATCTTATCTCTAATTTTATATATATGTATATACTCGGTAACGTACAGCGTGATGCACGCACAGGTTTTCCAATAGACGCCCAGCCCAATACCATATCTATGTTAAAACTGCTTACCGAACGTTAGCTAGAGTGTGGCGGCGGTTTCTGAGGAACTTGTGGTACTTCTGCAGGTCGCCTATGCTGCCCTGTTCGGCCTGCATTTTGACCGGAGCGGCTCCGCCACTGCCGCAAGTGTCCGAGCTCGTCGTGCTCGTCACGCTTTTGGTGCGCAAGTTTTTCTTGCGTTTCCGGTCGGCGGTGGACGCGGGAAACTTTAGAGACACCGCCGAAGCGGCCGCCGAGTTGTTGAAAGTGGGCGACGAGCTGTTGGCCGTCTTCCTGACAGTCAGCGAGCACGAGCTACCCGACAGCAGACACTCGTCTTCGGTGGGCGGCAACGTCTGCTGGTCGTCGTCGTCTTCCTCCTCGATGTCGTGCAGCAGCTGCTGTTGTTTGCTACTGTTGCTGTCCGACGACAATAGACGCGTCGACGACTGTTGCTGCTGCTGTTGTTGCTGTTGTTGCTGTTGCTGTTGTCCTTGGCCTTGCTGTTGTCGGCCTGTGCCGGACAGAGACGGAAGGCCCGCGGTGGTGGATCGCAAGGGCTGGTGGACGTTTAACGGCCCGGCCGCCTCCTCGTCGTCGTCGGACGACTCGAGTCGGCCCGGGTCGTCGGACGGCGCACCGCCAGCCGACGCCGCGGCTGCGGCTGCTGCGGTGACCTGTTGGCGGAGGCGTCGACGGCGGCGGCGGCGGCAGCTAGGGCAGCAGCAGCACCACCACCAGCTGCACTTGCTCGACGCGCCCCCCACGCCGCCGGCTCCGGATCTGCCTGTCCGTGTTTTGCGATCACTGGCCGCACGACCGCAAGTACCGCCGCCGCTCCGTCAGCAGCAGCAACCCGATCCCGGGCGACGGCCCCCGCGGCGACCCAACGAGACGCCCAACGGTTCCGGTCGTCTGCTCGTCGTCCGTCCGCCTTTAACGGCCATCGACTGTCGTCCGGTCACAGTCAGCCGTCGCCATTTTGTAATCGTTCAATCTGCACACTAACACAATAATAAACCATTCATGAACATGGTATGCGGTAACCACACACAGTTAACGCATACCGGGTTACCAATTTTGAACGCACGTCACATTGCAACTGTTTATAGGCCATCTGAGTGGGGTAGATTTTCATTTTGAAAACAACATTTAAGTAAAATTTTTAAGCGTTTCCATTGTGTCCTCATACAGTAATGGAGTTTTGGCATTTTCAGTCGATTAACAGCTGTTATCAATTGATTTCAATGAACCCTAATGTTATTTTACATTCGAGGGTGAAGTATTGAAAAAACATCGGTTTTTTTACTTGCATACAAAAAAGTGAAAACCAAAATTAAACAAATATTTGTAATCTCCTTATATATATATGTATATTTGTTTTGATACTTAAGTACTTTGTACAGTCAAGCACTCTGCGTTTCTTTATGACACAATCGAATATTTTTTTTAAATCATTGTATTATAATATTATGTAAAAGTTTGTGTGTACATACTCAAAAAAAAAAACTCATTTCACTAATAGGTATTTTAGAGAGCACTGTGAAGTTTATAAAAAAAGTTACAGACAGTTTTCCCTACAAATTATACTTTTTTTTAGCGATACATCAAATCGCAATATGCTAAAAAGTGTACATAAACATACCTACCTACATATTTTGATAAGCAATAATAACACAATATTGAATGTTGCCTTTGTTTGCTATTCTGCTGTGAACCGATTACTTCTAAGTTATAATAATATTCAAGAATTTTTGAATAGTTTTATTGAACACTGGTGGCTTTGTTAAAAAAAATTGATTGGTTAAGAATTAGGTTTTCATATTTCCATGAAACTCGCACTGTTATAATATTTTATTTAGTATGTACACTATTGTGTTATAAGAAAAGGTTTTGTTGAGTCTTAACCATAATATCTTATATTTCCTAAAAAACGCAACCCTTATTTTTGGAAAGCGCTTTTGGAACAATTTTCATTCTATTCCGTGTTCGACCTTAAAAACCTTTTGGCATTTTCGACGTTACCTTTTGTGTGTGTCGCACAAAAGCCTTTTATAGATGATCATTTTTTTCCTCTATCCAAAAGCATTACATCAAGTTTTCTAATGGTACATTATGTTTGCAATATTTAAACGATATTTTTTTTGTTAATAAAATTGTTGTAACATATTCCAAGTCGTTCATCGTTATAACATATTATTATTTGGGAAAATATTTAAACCTAATGTTCGACAACATTTTTAAAATAACATATTCTATAATTCCATTGAAACTGTTGTCTCAAAGTTTATAATATCACGAGCCGCATAAAATGATGTACTTTTTTCGCAGTAAAAATTTGCAATTCTAAACGACGGATCAAGAATACATTTTATACAGTTTAAATTATACTGTTGGAAAATGTTTTCATTTTTTTTTCCTAAATAGAAACATTGGCGTACACACGGAGGGAATTAAGAAGTCAGTATTGCTCTTCGGCAGCCGTTTTTATACATAAATATACATATATTCTTAAGTATAAATATTTACCCCCCCATCATTAGGTTTGGTTTGGACTAATTTGTATTACCCGCTACTTTCCAAAGACTTAAAAAAAAAAATTAAATCCGTACGCTCCACTGGACGTTGTGATTAAGTATGATATTGATAGCCGCTTTTGGAAAATATAATGTAAATTATAATCTTACCGCGCAAAAGCCAGTCGGTGGGTTTACTCATTTTTCATGATCACCCTGTATGATATAAGACACGAATTTTTTATTCGAATGACTTGTAAAAAAAAACTCAGTTAAGAGTATCCCCACACACCTGATGCATATACATCAATACAGTCCAGACATATAATTATATGATTAATTCCGATCTAAAATTTCCTTGCTATGTATGATGATCGGATGGTCTTAATTTTATATTCTGGCCAAACGTTGTTTAGTAGTCTTTATAATATCTGGCCTTAATTTAGATTTACTGGCAACATTTATCAATATATTTATCATTTATCATAAATCAATTTCCATGGTTCGCCAGTAAGTAAGTGCCTATCTAACAAATTCATTTTAATATCCTTATATATAACGTAATAGCTTTATGTCCTTATATATCCAAATTTACCCTTGTATATCCTCATATATCCTTATATATTCTAATATATCCTCATATATCCTTATATATTCTAATATATCCTTATATACCCTTATATATCTTAATATATCCTTATATACCCTTATATATCCTACTATACCCTTATATTATATCCTCATATATCCTTGTATATCCTAATATATCCCATAAATCCTTATATATCCTTATATACCCTTATATATCTTAATATATCCTTATATACCCTTATATATCCTCATATATCCTTGTATATCCTAATATATCCTTATATATCCTAATATATCCTTATATACCCTTATATATCTTAATATATCCTTATATACCCTTATATTATATCCTCATATATCCTTGTATATCCTAATATATCCCAATAAATCTTTATATATCCTAATATATCCTTATATACCCTTATATATCCTCATCTATCCTTCTATATCCTAATATATCCTTATTCGTTTGAAACGAACACCACTCGAGTGACATTTTTAAAAATGTTTTTCACCAATAGAACAATAAGAAATACTTTCTTTGTACACTATTTTCCCTGTAACTGTAAGTGAGTTCGTATTTGAATATGATAGTAAAAAAAAAAAAACAACTACTAATAATTTCAAAGACAACATTTGTATAATTATTTGTGTACAATATATTATGAAATAAAAAATGTAAGTGCATTTGTGCATATTGGACGCCAATGCTACAGTGTGTCTTTTGTGAGTGCATGACCTTTCCACTTGGCCCGTTCAAACCGTAACCGTGTATATAAATAGACATAATATCTTAGGTGCGCGATATTATTATGATTATTTTTTAAATATTATCACATTAATTTATTACTATTATTATTATTATTATTATCGTTTGCGTTTGATGTGTTGGTCTTAAGGTTTTTTCGCCCAACCCGACGACCGTCTTGGTCGCCTCGTTTAATTTATAGAGACCGAAAATACCGCGTCGAGGCATATATTATTATTATATACACGTGTGAGACGCTTAAGTATAAAAAGCACTAACACGCGAGAACGCCGTCCACGTCATTGGCCACTTTTTGATTTATTTCTCTGGCGTTTTATAATATGGAATGAAAAAAAAATAATAGTAATCATAATACTAAAAAAAAAAAAAAATGTGCTGAAAAATATGAATTTTGGACCTACTCCAAAGGACGCTCCGACCAAGGACGATTTCGCAAATAATAATAATTTTGAACTCGCGTGACGATATGTTCGTATTATATTCTTTATTAAAAATTTATATCTGAAAGTGATAAAATCGCATTTAAATAAACGCTTTGATGCCAATCTGGTGAGTAGAGTTCAAACCAGACCAAGTTCAGTAACAAAGTAATAGAGTCAAGTGCATTGTCCACGGAATCCATTTAGTATTCTTTAGAACATTGTGGAAGTTGTTACAACGTTTTAAATACTTATGAAATACTATGATGAATCCAACCAGTATCATGCCATTTTTTTTTATTATGTGTTCCATTGAATGGACAAAAAGGTGTGTATATAATAATAGCATGCACTCGTGTATAACTTAATGTACCTTTGCATCTGTGTAATTTAGTCAAAAACCACTCAATCTAATTTAAAGCCTAGTTTAGTATTATTTGTCTCTATCTTTCAATTCAATTTTTTTAAAACATTTTTAGGTGTGGCTATTGAATTAGAAGTCTTAGAACGAGATGACATAGTTGGTGTTTGGTCATCGTATTAAGTATTCTCACCACTGAAGAATTATTGAAGTTTATTATTAAACAAAACATTTTATTTTACAATCAAGTAAGAAAGACCCTGTTTTTGTTTTCAGGACAAACGATTTTTTAGAAATAACTAGTTTTTATTTTTATTTTTATTTTAGCATTTGACAAAACAAAATACGATATCATAGTGGAAGGTAAAGAGCACCAAAGACTTCTTAGAGACACCGACTTAGATTTTTATTATAATAAAATACATATTTTGTTTTCTTACAGAAAAAGTATCTCCATTTGGAAATAAGAGTAATTATACAAAAAAATTATTTATGCAATGGTTTTTTCAGTAGTCCAGAGTACAAATATAAGCTGTGAACAGTACTAAAATTTAGTATATTCAATTATCTTAGTTAAACTTTATTTATTTATACTTTATTGTTAATAGTATTACATAACTAAATTGCACGTTACATATTTATCAAAAAACAAAAAAATAAATACATATTATTGATCCGTTCATTATTTTATTATACTATTTTATCCGCGTGTAACATACTTGGTTAAGGTAACAATCAGTGTACAATTATTACAATTACTTAGTCAAAATATAGTCCACTTTATTTCACTTGGACAATTCACAATAGTGAATATTAGCATAACAAATTTGTCAAAATGATTTGTTATCCGACTGTTAAAAAATTGTAATTAGTTAAAAAAAATACATCAATATCTTTTTTGGTAT